TTAAAGGGGCATTATGGAAGTGTGACAGCCAAAACATGTATAGAAATAATAAATGTCTTCTTCATACATTCTCCTGCAATGCCCTGGTCCTGTAGAATGAGCCCTGGCATTTTTACTGTGATTGCCTGTTTTTCTGTAAAATCACAGAAAAAGAGAGATGCTCGGGTCGAGCAGGCTGCTTCATGCGCGTTCACGCTCAGGCATCGCCCGTAGCATTTGCTATCCGTAGCTTTAGCAGCAGAGAGAGCGCCTAGTGACAAAGCTAGCTACATTTCTGAGGACCCTTAGCTACTTACTGTAGAACTTTCTTCTAGATATTTCCTGCAAATTAGCAACAAAATAGCCATTTTCACTCCGAACCGTTCTTTGGTTCGACGTTGTTTCAGCTGTCATCAAGGATATAAATGTTACAGATACAAGAGCTGTCACTGGCGCTTTAGCTCACCTATGGGCCATTCCCATCTTTACCGGGTCGGCTCGGGCCGGGTAGCGTAGGTTGTTTACATATCTGGGTGGCCTGGTATTTTTCCGGGCCAACCAAGGCTCATTCTCAGCCCTCTTCTCGAGGGGGTCTGCTTCAGGGCCAACACACCCACTGCTGACAGCAAATCCACACCTTCCATTAGAGCAAGCCTCTGATTGGTGGGTAGAATCAGCCCACATGGGCTTAAGACAAGGATGTGTGGAATCAACCGGGCCAGGCTGGGGCCGACTGGGGCTACCCGGCCCGGGCCGACCCGGTACAGATGGGAATGGCCCAGTAGTAAGACATCGGACTCTCGAGCAGCAGACCTGGGTTCGATTCTGGGTGTGAACATAGTTCATTTAGAGTATCTTTTTTACATTAATGGTATATTTTTTTACAGTAAGATGCCCAAATTTTTTAGACTCGTCGAACAGCATTGAATTCACAGATAAAAAAGATGTGGGTTCAACTTTCATTTTGGAACAATTTTTCAAGCAAGGGAAGGGAATGATCTGAGCATGCAGGAGGACTGACCCATCTTAAACCTTTGTTGGCTGTGCTGCAGAGAAAGGTACAGAACCAAATTAATTATTTAGCCGTGCGTTCTCCAGTCCTCTGTCCTCCGGGACACGGACACACGCACACACACACACACGCACACACACACGGGACTGTCTGAGCTGTTATTTTTGTTGAGTGTGCACGTACAGCATGCGCGCCTCTTGCACGAGCCTGCTATTGAAGCTGCCGTTACGCTTTTGGCCTGAGGGGGCAATCGCGAGCATAAAAATTCAAAAGTCCGTAAAGTCCCTTTAAGTCAAAATAAGCGTGATTATCATTTTTGCCGTAATCGAGCAGCCCTAGATGCACTTTTGTCACCTGCATTGGAGGTTATAATTATTATAATAATAATAATAATAATAATAATAATGATACTCAGATTTGGCCGAGGCTGTTGAAGTTTTCTAGTTCAGTAATTGGGTCACAACACCCGTGTTGCAGAGCAAATGAAGTCAGTGGTAGAGTCATGATGCTGTTATCACATCAGAGGCCAGATGTCCAAATATCAGGAGATAAGACTCCAAAAGCTGCCGTCTGAAGCGGTTTTCCTCCAGCAGACTTGTACTTCCTGAAACAGGCGCATCTCAGCTTCCGCTTTTCCTGAGTACAGCTTACAAAGCATTCATTCCTACTAGAGACCACTGCAAATGTACTAATTACATGGGTGAACCACACCTTTAAAGCTTCCGACGGTCAGATCAATATACGGCAGCAGCCATAAAAATCAGTGATGAAATCTCCAAGGTGCAAACTGTGTGAACTGGTTTTCTAGAACTAGTGGTTGGTGGCAGCTGCCTGGGCGCTCCTTGTGAGCGGTTCAGGATGGTGGGGGTTTCTGCCCTCCATTCCTGGACGCCCGGGGTCAATGCTTCGGCTACTGCCATGGAACTGCTGCTGTAGAGGCAGACGGCTCCCCTGATGGCATGTCGTTTATTACCTGATCCACCTGAACTCGGCCAAGTGTTGATTTATGTTGTTGTGGCCAAATGTATTGAGGGTTTGAAAGCCATTAGTTTTATTTATTCATGTTGTTTAACAGTAGAAACATATAATTCTGACTTCCTTCTAAACCTTTACATGATTTATGTATTTATTTAATTACTTTTGACAGTTTGTGATGACTTTGTAAACTTTTGGACCCTCCCATTAATTAGGTACATAAGTAGCAAGACAGGGAGAAGGTGGGTGATAGGTAATTAGATTTATCCCATATTACCTTAAAGGACGACACACCCGGAGAGAGAGAGAGAAAACTGATTATTTGTAATGTCCATGTGGGTGAATCAACATGTGAGAAGCTGGACTCAACCAACCAGCCCCCACTCTGCTCCAGCCTCAGCCTTCTGCTCTTACCAGCTCTGCAATACCCTCCACCATTATGTTTGGTAATTAAATGTTAGGTAATATTTAATCTCCATAACCCTGGAACCTGAAATAAACACACATGACAACAAGGAAGACATTTTACCCTGAGTCCCCAAAACATGGAGAGTTAACACAGAGAAACCTCCTCCGAGGCTTCCCCACGTCACTCCCAATGTGCTCCTAGTTCGTCAGGGGCTTTATTCACAAATGGATGGGGAGAAGGCGGGCCTTCTCAGGTTACAGAGGTACAGTTTTCAGTTGGAAACCCACAATCAACATCCTTGCTCAACCTTTCATGAACAACAACAGTTGGCAAAAACAGAGATTCATGATGTGTTAATAACACAAAATGGCATCTTTTAGGCCTCAAAAAGGTACAATTATAAAAATACCCAACAGTGGGTTTTTGTTTTTGTTTGTCAGATGTCAGCCGGAGGTGATGGGAAGGTTTTTAATGATTTTTTTAAACACTTTACAGAGACTTTATTAGTTGGATTTTGTGGATTGCTGGATGATTTTGAGTTACAAGAAATAAATGAAATATATTTTTGAAGAACTGACGTCTGGAGTGCGTGCAAATCCTAAACCCACCTGTTGCCACCCACGGCTTTTTTTGTTTTGGATTATTTCGTTTGGACGGTAAAAGGTTGCGACATGTGCTATGCGTACAAGTCAGGGGTGGACATTAACTTCAAAACCAACCGGCCAGCCGGGCCGGTAACTCTGAATATTTACCGGCCCCGCCAAGAATCTACCGGCCCCGCTGGTCAGCTGCCAAAACGAGTCAAAATAACAACTGAACCGTTTTAAATGTAATAAACCTTTATTTTGTACACATTCACAAACATAATAACGTATTCAAGTTTGAATTTGTTTGTTCCCTCAACAACTCGATTTTGTCGTCGCATACTTCCGGCATACAACGCAGTACATCACCAACTCCGCTTTGCTGTACTCGAGCCATTGGCTGTGTTCGAGATAAGCCAGTTCTGCGCAGATTAGACCAGCGGTGATCGGCGAGCGGTGCATGCCGGTTAGATTTGTGTCCGACTTGACGCCGACTTGCTCTGACGTCATGCATACGTAGGCAACGATAACCTCGTGAGATCAAGGCGGCCGCAGATTTTGGAGCAAGGCGCTGCAGTTGCTCTCCACCGGCTGCAAAACCTAGAGGATGATGGGAAACGCCTGGCTCTCACCTGATCTAAGATCTGATTGGTTCACATTTTGATCCAAACATCCGGTGGTAGAACATGAAATGATAGTTGGTCACATGTATTCTGTAAATCATGTTACGTTGATGATGACAACTATATAGGCCATAAAGAGAAATGTGTTTTGTGTCCTTTTGTCACGTTTCCTATGAGCACACTGAAGCTACAGCTGATAACCTTTACTTATTACAGTCATGTCTTCATATACAATATATGGTATCCACAAGCACGTGAGGATGTGTTTCAGCTGCTAACAGGCACCAGAATTAAAACTGAAAATTGAACAAGTGTGAACGCTAACGCGATATCTTCAGCCATCGTCACCCCCGAGCTACACATGTAGGAAATCTTTCCGACTTAAACGCCGGCTTTCAGCCACTCCCACCCTGCAGGGACTTAAACACACACTGCCTTCAGCTTCTGGATGGTGATGGGCCCCGCTGCGGGCCAGGTCCGACCCGGCTTTCAGCCCCTGCCCCTGCTGCTCCCGCCTGCTGCTCTCGTCTGTTTTCCAGGCAAGCCGCTGCTCAACTAAAACACGGCCATTCTCTGCGCCTCCCGTCTTCTTTAAACCGCCAAGAATCGTTCCACCTACGCACACGCTTCTCTGCTTCATACCGTTTCGAACTGTCTCGCTCCTCCTCACCAGTTTTAAAGCGTTTTGCCGGAGATTTCACCAAGAAATCCCATCCCTGTGGCATCTCCCTGCGTGCTTGTGTGTTTCTAGCGTGGTTCCACTTCGTCTTCAATAGTGAACTTATAGTTCACGTGACTATAACTAGAATCGTGCAGTACGTGCACGAATCGTACAAGTGCAGTACGTGGCTAGAGGCGCGCAGGTTTACGCGTGCGAAATGAAAACGGCGGCTTCCTACAGGGCGCGGCCATGATGTAGGTGAAAGCCGGTGTGTAAATGACAAATAAGGCTTGGGCGCCACCCGGGCGGTAAGTCGTCAAGTATTTACCGCCCGACGAGAAAATTTAGCGCCATTGGCGCTCGGGCGCTTTAAAGGTCCACCCCTGCAAGTGTGTGTGCGTGTACGTGTGTGTGTGTGTGCCTGGGAAATGGACTGCTTTTTAAATCGTTTTTATATGGGTGGGAAGGGGATGGGATATAGGTTTCCTGGGGTCATTTTTATCTGTAAAGCATCTTGAGTTGCTTCATTTGTATGAAAAGTGCCATATGGAAAAATGTTTGATAGATTTCAGAAGTTCCTTGAATAGCAATCATTTTGAAAGTTCAGAGGAAAAGCACCTTGGTCAGTCCGATGATTTTAGGTTTTTCATCGATCAAGTTTAGAACACTCTGGTAATGTCCCACTCGTTTTTGCTGTGCTTCATATGTTGGGTTAGAGTTATAGAAGCTTGATCTGCTTTGCTCATTTTCCACACAGAAAAACCGGAAGGAGATCCCCTGTTACTGGGAAACTCAGCCAGCAGGCTGCCTGAAACCACACTGTGCTTTCTTTCACGAGAAACCACGCTTGATAGGTGTGTTAGTTCAACAAAGCAATACTTTGTCCGCAGTTATTCAAAGACGATGTTTTATTCACAAAGTTGAATTGTGAATTTCCAGGTCAGAGCAAAACGGAGGAATCCCAAAATGAGGAACAGACCCCTTCACCTGCTCCTGTTCTGCCCAACACAGCCAACCCTCAGCTCAGAGGCATCATCAAGACAGAAACCCAGGAGCCAGTACCAAGCCCAACACACCCACCTGTGGTTATTAATCCAGCAGACGATGATGAGGATGAAGATGGTGAGCTCACTTTTGTTATTTTATTTAAAATGGCAAACGACTCCTTCTAGAGTCCTACACACTGTGCTTCCCAACACAGTAGTCATTGATCTAATCATAGACTGGTGGTGATGAGGGTCTGTGTAGCCACAGTTGCCCTGGGACTCACAAACTAAAAACACTGAAGATGAACTGGTTTTCATCTAGCTGAAGCACCCGCGTAATGTGGTAGCAATCCGAACACATTCTTCATGTAGAACGGTCAGCTGAACTGAACTGGTTGGACGCTCGCGTTCCAGAAGTGACAAGACCAGGAAAGCGGTCTTCTGATATCGCCACAGAGAAACAGCACAGTTCCTCCATTAAACTGTGGAAAGAGTGTCTAATCGTGCTGTAGACGCATGCCTGTAGTCAATAAAATATATAATAAATCAATAACCTGCCTAAAGCTTTCAGTGTTGCGCCCTCTTCAGGTAAAAATACTCTGGTAGGGGGTGACTTGCTCTTTATAGACTTCTATGTTCATTTCAGTGCAGTTTGTTTGGCGTGTTTTATTGCAACTTGTGTTGCCATGGTGACGGATATTAAGATGTGTCTTTAACATATTAGATTTTATTGTGTAATGGCTGTTAGAATGCTGCTTTGAGCCTCTATAAAGCATGAAAACACACACACACACACACACACACACACGATATGGTCTATGATTCCTGTATTTAAACAATAGATCCTCCTGGGACTGGTAGAACCTCCATGCCGTCTTGGATTAGAGCAAAAACGAGTTACTCCAGCATCTGGAAGATTTATTCTGGTAAATTATCGGTTAAATATTTTAGTTATCAATATAAACATGGTGCGGTAAAGGGTTAATTTACATGTTATTTAATGAACCATGAGACATGAGATGCCATAGAAAATATGAAATCAATCTTATGGATCGTTGGGTACTTTTAACCAGAAGATTGGAACTTTTTATTGCAGGGATTATGTAACACTTGTATTAACTGAGGGACAACAGAAGAGAGAGTCAAGTTTTAAAAGTTTAAGACCCTCTAGCTAGCTTAAACTTGTGTGCTAACATCACAATGTTGTTCAGGTTACTGTCACGTACCAAACAGTTAAAATAGTATCGGTCACTTAAATTAATTTAGATTCTTGACCGTAATAAACTATGAGCAGACCATTTCGCTGCCGTGTGCTGTCCATGAGAGAGGTGGCGGTGGCGGTGGGGGGGTGTCTATAGATTAGGGCTGTATTACAATATACACTGCCTGGCCTAAATGAGCATCACTACCAAACAAAAGGGGCACACACTAATATTTTGTGAGGCTGCCTTTAGCTTTGATTAGAACACACATTAGCTGTGGCATTGCATTGCATCCAAATGTCACCAAGATCCAGCACTGATGATGGTGAGTCTGACCGCTGCACAAAGCCTTCTCCAGCTCATCCCAGAGATGGGCTTAAGGTCTGGACTCTGTCGTGGCCAACCCGTGTGAGAAAATCATGTCTCCCTAGACCAGTCTTTCACTATCTGAGCCCGATGAATCCTGGCATTGTCTTCTTGGATCATGACTGTGCCACCAGGGAAGATGGAATAACCCGGTCAATCAGGATTTTCAGGTAGTCAGCTGACCTCATTCTTGGAGCCCATCCTGGTGCTGAACCTAGACCTGACCACCTGCAGCAAGCCCAGATCATAGCACTGCCCCACAGGCTGGTACAGTAGGCACTAGGCATGATGGGTGCATCACTTCATCTGCCTCTCTTCTTACCCTGATGCACCAACACTCTGGAACAGGGTCCATCTGGACCCATCAGACCAGTTTTAATAATGCGTTGTAGAGTTCTTTACCCTGTTTCTGCATCTCCTTACATGTTTTCTCTGCTTGATGCCAAAGATCTGACCCTTCTCACACAGACTAACATCTGTTCCAGAACCAGATGTGTCGTTCCACCTGGTTGTTTATGAAATGAGAAGCAGCTCACTGCACCAGTTGGGTTAAATAAGTTGTTGCAGCTGAAAGAGAGTAATAATCCTCTAGGAGGCTTTATTTACTTTTTTTGACTTGGCTGTGTGTGTGTGTGTGTGTGTGTGTGTGTGTGTGTGTGTGTGTGTGTGTGTGTGTGTGTGTGTGTGTGTGTGTCATTTTGATACGTCACATATATCTTGATTTGGTCTTTTTGGTTTGTTTTGTTTTCTTCAGACCAATTTTCTGAAGAGGGAGATGATGGAAAACTCGGCCCTTCACCAAAGAAGATGCCTAAATCAGGTCAGACTGCTTGGTCACAATTGCCCTGGAAATAAGCCAAATCATGTGTTTACAGCATGTTCTGCTAGAGAGCGTGTTTGTTGTCTACCACAGGTCTGAGGATTTGGGGGAACTTATCAGTATCTGAAGAGTTTAGGAGCCGTTGGTCATTCATAAGTGGTCAGACTGTGGTGCTAATGAGGATCCAGACTAGGGCTGTCACGGTGTGAAAATTTAACCTCACGGTTATTGTGTCCAAAATTACCACGGTTTTCGGTATTATCGCGGTATTTTTTTTAAACGTGCTACATTTTCACACATTTAAATAAACCCGGTATGTCAGGAAATTTTGTCCTCAGTTTGTGTCTAAATTTTGCCTAAAATGTGTTATTTTGTAATTATGTTGTTTATTTGTTTACATTTTTCCCCTTTAGTCTTTAAAATACCAATATTTGCCCATAACTTCTTATTTTTTGTCTGATGTCATCATTTTAAAAATATTAGATCAGATGATACTCAGTACTCAAGTAGCCTTCTAATCAGATACTTTTTTACCCTTACTTGAGTAATAAACCCTATATCAGGAGAATATCGTCCTCGGTTTGTGTTCTTCCAGTGAGCTTTGCAGATGTGGGAAAATGTCATCAGGCAGTAATCGTTGTTAAATTCATAATTATTCTCGGAGAGAGACCAACTCTTATCTGCCCCTGGGAGCCCCGTAATGCATAGCGTCATTTCAACATGGCCGTGTCCGCGACACGGTTTATATGCAGGTAGCGGCGCTGCGGCTGCTTTATATAGCGAGTCGTTGCATTCTCCCTCAACCCAAATCCTCGGATCACGCATTTTAGCTAAAACGCTAACGTTAGCTTGCCTTGCGTTGACTGTAGAGTTGTGGGTGACGGTCACGCAGATGTGTCATGAGATTTGAAGCGTTGCTGCCTTTCACATAGGGATGCACTGATGGATCGGCATTTGATCTCAATCGGCCGATAGCGCCCCTATCGGTTTTGATCAGAGTTTTCAAAATAGATCAAAGCAGACTGATCAAGTAGGGTTGTCACGGTAACCGGTGTCGACTATGTGAGCAAGACTGTCGTCTCGAAGAATTTCAGAGAAGGACATAATTCCCATGGATGAGACTGCCGTTTGGTTCGATATGGTGTCTCCCAGTACCATTGATTAGGGTCGTCACGGTAACCGGTGTAGCGGTAAACCCCGGTAAAAAAGTTGACAATAATAATAACCGTCTTGTTTAAAAAAAAACTATATTATCTCAGTGGATTACTGTGGCTGCGGTGTAGGCGCGGTGACCCTTACCAGCCACCGTATCATCTGCTGAAGTTGCCGGCGGCACATGCGCACTTTGTTGTTTACAACCAAAACATTCTTGAAGCTAAAGCTGAAATAATGGCCAAAGGAGGAGACGGCAGCGCTCAGGAGGACATTTATTATCCCTCAAAGAAGACAAAGTGGGAAGTACGGGCATGTTTTGGATATTTGAAGAATGTCGAGGGACAGTTGATAGAAGGCGGCTATCCTGTTTGCAGCACGTGCAGAAAAAGTGTCTGTGAAAGGCAGCAACGCTTCAAATCTCATGACACATCTGCGTGACCATCACCCACAACTCTACAGTCAACGCAAGGCAAGTTAGCGTTTTAGCTAAAGTGCGTGATCCAAGGATTTGGGTTGAGGGAGAATGCAACGAGTCGCTATATAAAGCCGCCGCAGCGCCGCTACCTGCATATAATCCGTGTCGCGGACACCGCCATGTTGAAATGACGCTATGCATTACGGGGCTAATTATGAATTTAACAACGATTACTGCCTGATGACATTTTCCCTCATCTGCAAAGCTCACTGGAAGGACACAAACCGAGGACGATATTTTCCTGATATAGGGTTTATTACTCAAGTAAGGGTAAAAAAGTATCTGATTAGAAGGCTACTTGAGGACTGAGTATCATCTGGTCTAATATTTTTAAAATTATGACATCAAACAGACATAAAATAAGAAGTTATGGGCAAATATTGGTATTTTAAAGACTAAAGGGAAAAATGTAAACAAATAAACAACATAATTACAAAATAACACATTTTAGGCAAAATTTAGACACAAACTGAGGACAATATTTCCTGACATACAGGGTTTATTTAAATGTGTGAAAATGTAGCACGTTTAAAAAAAATACCGCGATAATACCGAAAACCGTGGTAATTTTGGACACAATAACCGTGAGGTTAAATTTTCACACCATGACAACCCTAATACAGACCATTTTAGATTAGGTTACATTTCCTTTATTCCCAGATTATGTAGTTTGTAGCACTCATTATACAGGTGCTGGCCAGTAAATTAGAATATCATCAAAAGGTTGAAAATATTTCAGTAATTCCATTCAAAACGTGAAACTTGTACATTATATTCATGCAATGCACACAGACCAATGTATTTCCAATGTTCATTACATTTAAATTTGATATTCAAAGTGACAACTAATGAAAACTCCAAATTTGGTATCTCAAAAAATTAGAATATTCTGAAAAGGCTGAATATAGAAGACACCTGCTGCCACTCTAATCAGCTGATTTACTCAAAACACCTGCAAAGGCCTTTGAAAGGTCCCTCAGTCTTGTTTTGAAGGCACCACAATCATGGGGAAGACTTCTGACTTAACAGCTATCCAAAAGACAATCATTGACACCTTGCACAAGGAGGGCAAGACACAAAAGGTGATTGCTAAAGAAGCTGGCTGTTCGCAGAGCTCTGTGTCCAAGCACATTAACAGACAGGCGAAGGGACGGAAAAAATGTGGTAGAAAAAAGTGTACAAGCTCTAGGGATAACCGCACCCTGCAGAGAATTGTGACGACAAACCCATTCAAAAATGTGGGGGAGATCCACAAAGAGTGGACTGCAGCTGGAGTCAGCGCTTCAAGAACCACCACGAGGAGACTCATGAAAGACATGGGATTCAGGTGTCGCATTCCGTGTGTCAAGCCACTCTTGAACATGAAACAGCGCAAGAAGCGTCTCGCCTGGGCCAAGGACAAAAAGGACTGGACTGATGCTGAGTGGTCCAAAGTTATGTTTTCTGATGAAAGCAAGTTCTGCATTTCCTTTGGAAATCAAGGACCCAGAGTCTGGAGGAAGAGCGGAGAAGCACAGAATCCACGTTGCATGAGGTCCAGTGTAAAGTTTCCACCGTCAGTGATGGTGTGGGGTGCCATGTCATCTGCCGGTGTTGGCCCACTCTGTTTCCTGAGGTCCAGGGTCAATGCAGCCGTCTACCAGGAAGTTTTAGAGCACTTCATGCTTCCTGCTGCTGACCAACTTTATGGGGATGCAGACTTCACCTTTCAACAGGACTTGGCACCTGCACACAGTGCCAAAACCACCAGCACCTGGTTCAAGGACCATGGTATCCCTGTCCTTGATTGGCCAGCAAACTCGCCTGACCTTAACCCCATAGAAAATCTATGGGGTATTGTGAAGCGGAGGATGCAATACGCTAGACCCAACAATGCAGAGGAGCTGAAGACGACTATCAGAGCAACCTGGGCTCTCATAACACCTGAGCAGTGCCACAGACTGATCGAGTCCATGCCACGCCGCATTACTGCAGTTATTGAGGCAAAAGGAGCCCCGACTAAGTATTGAGTGCTATACATGCACATTCTTTTCATGTTCATTCTTTTCAGTTGGCCAACATTAGAGAAACAAACATTTTTTCATTGGCCTTTAGAATATTCTAATTTTCTGAGATACCAGATTTGATGTTTTCATTGGTTGTCACCTATAAATATCAAAATTAAACGTAATAAACATCGGAAATACATTGGTCTGTGTGCATTGCATGAATATAATGTACAAGTTTCACGTTTTGAATGGAATTACTGAAATATTTTCAACCTTTTGATGATATTCTAATTTACTGGCCAGCACCTGTAATGTTGTAGAAATTTTCTGGCCAATCCACGTGATCGGTATTGGTGATCAGCATTCTTTGATATCGGTATCGGTGATCGGCAGCAAAAAACCTGATCGATGCATCCCTACTTTCACAGACACTTTTTCTGCACCTGCTGCAAACAGGATAGCCGTCTGCTATCAGCTATCAGCTGTCCCTCGGCATTCTTCAAATATCCAAAAGATGCCCGTACTTCCAACTTTGTCTTCTTTGAGGGATAATAAATGTCCTCCTGAGCGCTGCCGTCTCCTCCTTTGGCCATTATTTCAGCTTTAGCTTCAAGAAAGTTTTGGTTGTAAACAACAAAGTGCGCATGTGCCGCCGGCAACTTCAGCAGCAGATACGGTGGCTGGTAAGGGTCACCACGCCTACACCGCAGCCACGGTAACCCACCGAGATAATATATGTTTTAAAAAACAAGATGGTTATTATTATTGTCAACTTTTTTACCGGGGTTTACCGCTACACCGGTTACCATGACAACCCTAATCCAGAAGGATGATAAATCATGCATGTACACACACCTGCCGGTCAGCCACTGCTCCTCACTGAAAGACTGGCATGTTTATTTTGAGCTAACCAATGCAGGAAGCTGCTCACTTACTTGGCATTTAAACGGTTCTGGTTCAACCACGAATATATCATTACAGGTGTGCTTGTTGTTTTACGCCGAACAGACCCACACGAGTCTGTTGTAAATTCAACAGCTCTGCTGGTTTTTATTGGGACTGTGCAGCTCTAGTCTTTTTATGCTGCACTGAGAAGGGACATCTATTAACAAATGAGCTCCACAAAGCACTTTCTTCATTCGTCTTTTGTTATTTCCCTTTTCATTCAACGTTAATCCAGCGGTTAGAAGGGCTTTGTCTTATTTTCTCCCTTTTTCTGCCGTTTCTGTTTGTAAGCTCTTCTTCTGCTGGGTTAAACAGGCAGC